GTGTTCAGTGCAGATCAGTGGTGGAGTAGAGGGTCAATGAAAAAGAGAAGATTCTAAATGGGATGAATTGACACAGTGGCTGTAACAATGGGCCCAAACATAGCAACAATTGTGAGGATGGCACAAGACTGAGCAGTGTTTTGTTCTCTTGTATGTAGGCTCACTGTGAGTTGGCACCACCTTTATGGCTCCCAACAACAACACAACTTGAAGTGAATGGGTTTAGACTTCCTGAGCTTTAAAGATTAATAAACTCTTAATTCAAGAATAAGGGGAGATGGTAAAAGAAGAAAAGAAAGATGAGTTGGGTGCTAGATATGAGGACATCAGGAACTGGCATTTTAGGGTGGAACACAGGATCTAATCAGAAAAAGAGCAACCAATGTAGCCTGGTGGGGGGAAGGGTATTAACATGTAGAGAGTCTTCCATGGGTGTCACCGCCTTTCATGCCTGGAACTCACTTATATTAATACCTACTGGATGTTAACAGATGAGAGAAATGAAGCCCATCATTTTCCCCAACGTTTTTATTATTTTGGGGTACATAGAAAAATTTGTACAATGGATTGTTTACTGAGGTAAATTGAGAAGGCTGCTATGTGGCCTCCACAGGCCTTACGTAGCCACTCTGAGAAGTCCATTCCTCAAATTGCTGGGTTAGGAATCTCTAGACCAGTGGTTCTCAACTTTAGCATGCATCGGAATCACATGGAGGACTTGCAGGGGGCAAAAAAAAGTCACAGATTGCAGGGTCCCATCCCCGAGTCTCTGATTCAGTAGACCTGGGATGGATCCTGAGTATTTGCGTTAAGATGAGTTCCATGGTGATACTGATGCTTCTGTTCCAGGAATATTCTTTGAGAATCTCTCCTCTAGGTGAGGTTAAGTGATCTGTTTACCTGGTGATAAATAATGAGGCCACAAAAGGCCACAGTAGTTCCACAAACTCTCATTTCTGTTTTATTGCATAAATTATTTACTATAAAGTAAATAGTAATTAAAAAGTTGGAATGCAAAATTAACTTATTTTAATATTATTTAATATTATTTTCAATATTTAATGCGGAATCCTTGGGGTGCAAATGAGAACACACTCAGAGGCTAACCAAGGGATTGGCGGTCTGACTCCTCCCAGGAGCGCCTCAGAAGAAAGGCTTTACAGTCTACTTCCGGGAAATCATCCATTGAAAGCCCTGTGGAGCACAGTTCTACTCTGACACACACAGGCTCCCCGTGAGTGGGAATTGACTCAACCACCACCGGGTTGTATTGTATTTTATTTTTTAACAGATCTGTGCAATACCGACATTTGTCACAAGATGGCACCAAAAGGCTGAAGATTTTGGTTGAAATTTGATTTTTTTTTTTGGGACTGTTGGTAGCTTTGATGTATAGTGAAACCTGTGAGAGCCAAAACTGAACAAAACTGCCTTGTTTGCTGGGGTCTGGCAAGTTTTCTGCCTGTAACAGGATGCACTCTTACCACGTTTCTATCACTTGTTTTAGTGGAAAATACTTGAGTTTTCCTTCTCTGACAGGTTTCTGCCCTACTCTGGTTCTGGCTTTGGCAGGTTTTACTATATTTATATCTGAATGGAGATTGGTCTGTATTCAAACCACGCCTAGCAAAAGAAATTTGAATTATGAGATGTTATTTTTTAATTTGAGGGGAGATACTGGTATTTTTCTGTCAAAAATAATTTATTTATTTATGAAAAATAAGATAGGAACATATATTGATGTCATTGATGGCTAATTATTTTGGAATTGCATGAAACATACAACTTGGTGCAATAATATAAAATATTCTATTATTATATTTTCCCCAGAGGACTGCAAATGTATTCAAATTAGCAAGCATTTATAAGATCTTATTATTTGCAAATGGTTAAGTGTCTGACTACCAGTCAAAAGTCTGGCTGTTCAAACCCACCCACAGGGGCCTGGGAAGACAAGTGTGGTGATCTGCTTCTCAAGGGTCACAACCTTGAAAACCTGTGGGGCAGCTCTACTCTGTGCACATGGAGTCTCCACGAGTTAGAATTACGTTCACAACACATTCTGTGATAGATAAGGTCCTACTATACTAGTAGAAGGAGCTCTGGTAGCATAGTGCCTAAGTCATTTGACTGCTGACCAGAAGGCTGGCGGTTCAAACCCACCAGCTACTCCTCAGAAGGAAGGTTGGGCAATCCTACTTCTATAGTGATACTGCCTTGGAAACCCAAGGAGGGATTGCTATGAGTTGGGGTCAACTCGACGGCACATAACAACAACAACATATTAGTAGAAGCTATATAGTCCAGAAGGAAGATTGGGCAATCTACTTCTGTAGTGATACTGCCTCGGAAACCCAAGAAGGGGTCGCTATGAGTTGGGTCTGACTCGACGGCACATAACAACAACATATAGTTCTTGGTCCCAGTGAGGTTTGAATTTAGTTGGCATGCATGCATGCATGCATGCATGCATAAATAAATAAATAAATGTATGTATGTATGTATGTATGTATGTATGTATATACAATTCAGTGAGAGAAGAAAATAATAAAATTTATCAAGTATGGGGTTGTATGCTATGGATTGCTCGAACAATGTGAACAGGAATAGAATATTAATAAATTAATAAAATATTTTTAAATTTAAAATATTCTACAAAATCATGCTTGTATCAGTTGAAAACACCACATTGAATCATTTTGTTATTGTGATATATATTGTTATAATTTATTGTATATATCTCATTAAATATTTAATATAAAATTAAATAGAACTATAATTTATTTCAACTGTGAGGAAATGTTTAGCAACTTGGACAGCCAAGTTTCAGTTTTTGACATAGAACGTTAGAAAACCTCCATGTGAAATTTATTTCATGACTATATATTTTTTTCTGATTCTATGGAAACAATGTTTATTCAGAAGAGGGTAAAGAGTTTTCTAGTACACAAATGTTGGTTATAGTATGCTATGTTCTTGCCATCAGAAAAGCATGCACCAAAAAGAATCAAGTGCCTCAGTCTATATTGTGAGGAGTTACTAGATTTTTATTGAGGATCAACGATATTACTAGCATTATTGTAGCCTTTAGGATCTGTTTAAAAGGAATGAAAGCCCCTTCAAAAAGCTTTGAATGTAACTGGTGAAGGAAGATTAATCTGATCTTAATTGTTAAATTATTGGAACTATGGCACATATCAGCCTTTCTGCTAGACATTTTATATGTCTCCAGTTTTCAAAACAATACAGCAAAATAAGTAATATCAACCCTGTTTTCCTATTTTATCATGATCATTTTAACATAACTTGTTGAAACTTGCAAGCTCTGCATCTTGGAGTTGGAATGTAACCCCAAATCTCTGGCTTCAAAATATGTTTTCTGTTTACCCTCTGTCCCGTACTTAAACAAAACAAAAAAGTACAAGGCAATTAGTATTTTGGCACTCTATTTAGTTATAATTATTCTGAAAAACTTAAAAGAAAGGATAAATTATTTAATGATAGCAGTTAATCTGGATTACATTTTAACTTCGGAAAAGATAAACATATAATTATTTGTTGACTTTAGATGTTATCTCTCTTTTTGTTTGTTTCTAACTTTCGGGAACATTCATTTCTTCTTCCGTGTATTTGTTTACAGGTTATGTGGGTATGTAACTTGTGCCGAAAACAACAAGAAATCCTCACTAAATCGGGAGCCTGGTTCTATAACAGTGGGACGAATGCACCGCAGCTACCTGATCAGAAGGTTGTCAGAGGACCGCGAAACGAAGAGGCGCCTCAGGAGAAAAAAGCAAAGCTGCACGAGCAGGCCCAGTTCCATGCACCCTCGGGTGACTTAGCTGTGCCTGCAGCGGAGAAGAGTCGATCTCATGGGCTCACAAGACAGGATTCTATTAAAAACGGGTCAGGAATGAAGCACCAAATTGGCAGTGACATAGCTTCAGACAGGTAAACGTTTTGTTTAATCTTCAGGTAAACATATTACTTTTAATCTTCATTCTAAATAGATATCAAAATACATAAAATGTTTAGACAACAGTAAGTCGACTAAATGTAATGTAAATGCCTATATGATTTCTGTAAATGCTGAATGTGATGTTCAGGATTTAAGCTATCATGGGATTGAACTATCTTAGGTTTGATATTCCCAGTAATACGTCAGACAGTGTTTCATTGGTATTCATAAGGTTTCCACTGGCAATTCTTTGAGAAGTGGAGGGCCTCTTCCTTCTTCCGATTCCATCTTAGTCTGCAAGCTCCACTGAAACCTGTCCACCATGGGTGACCCTGCCAGTGTTTGAAATACTGGTGGCATAGTCTCCAGCCTCACAGCAACATGCAAGCCACCACAGTATGACAAACTGACAGACGAGTAGTGGTCCTCAACGAGATGGATTAACACAGTGGCTGCAACGACGGGCTCAGGTATAGCAAGGATTGTGAGGCTGGCACAGGACTGGGCAGTGTTTGATTCTGTTGTACACAGGGTTGCTGTGAGTTGGAGCTGACTTGACGGCACCACAGCAACAATAACACGTTTGATACGGGAGTGTCAGGGTATTGTATAAATTTTTTGGAAAAAAATAAATGATATAAGATGAATTTAAATATGATGCTATTGTTACAGGAAAGATACATTAAATGCTTAAACTTTGGTAGGAGCAACAGGACTGAAGAAGAGAAGGTTTTAAGACACTTTTATAGAGATTGGATTGATGGGACTAACTGGATATGGGAGTTAAGGGGATGGGGGGGTTGATGATGTGTCTGGGTTCTCTTTTGGGCTAGAGGGTGATAAGGTTTTCCAAACAGGTTTGCAGTGAAGTCTTTTGTAAGGTTGATGTATCCATAATCTAATGACTCTGTTACTACTGTTTTGGTTTGGTTATTTAGCAGTCTTATGGGCTTCTTCATGTTCAAAGTTTTAGAATTTTACAAAAGTGATTCTATTCCTTATATTTTTACCATTGGAAGGGGAAGAAGGAAAAAAAAATTACTGGGAAATTACATTTCTATAACCTATTCCTCTGCTTGAATTTATAAATTAAAAATACCAGGTGTCTACGAGTACAAAGTCATGCATTTGTGGAGAAGCAAATTAAATTGTGCTTATAGAAATGTAGGTTCTGAACTATCAGTTATAACAGGAAAGGTAAGTGGTAGCCATTTTAGATTGGTGCCTAAAGCCATCACCCCAACATGTTGTTGTGTCTTGGGAGAATAAGAAAATGATGACTACGTCAATTGCTTTTGAACTTAAGAAATTTATGGAGTACTTCAAGAAAGTTAATAAAATTGAAACAGCATGGAATCAGTTCTATCTTTGCATAAAACAATGACTGGAATATCGTGGACACATCTCATTATGAAATCTTAGGAACCCATGACTTTTAAGGTTTAGGGACTATCTTAGTTTGAGTTCCACCTAAGTAGACAATGATTTGAGTGCGTACAAAAGTTTATTTGGAAGGCAAACCCACTTGGGGACTGGGAAATTATACAGATAAGAGAAAGAATACAATACTGGGTCTGTTCAGGAGCAGGTTATTTCTTTTGGCAATCATGTCTCAATTGTAATGGGGCTTCTGAGAAACAGGGTGGAATTACCTCAGAGTTGTCCCCATAAGGGGCAAAGAAGCTGGGATATTTGTCTGTCAGTTCTCCTTTTGTTCGTTCAGGACTGTTCTGGAGCTCACTGGTGAAGCATGTTCCCATGGCTGGACAAAGCACTCAGGCAGAGTTACAAATGCTGACAGTAGAAGACATAGCTGTCAGGGCCAATGAATGATGAATCAGTGTGAGTAGGGCACTGGCAGTATCTGCCACACAAGGACTTCAGAGAAGGACAAAGTTCATAAAACGGCAACAATAACTGTCAAGGTACATGAGCTTGAAAAAAAACAAAAACAAAAAACTAGAATTTGTGATCTAGAAATATGATAAGCAGTGAAGGTAGGATTTTAAATGAATGAATAGATAAAAAATGGGTAATAAAAATGCAGACCCATTCTTCAAAAACTGGATAGCTATATGAAATAGCCCCTTCTGGAGCTTAGGAAGATAGGTTTAGGAAGAATAAAAGCAAACACTAAGCAGCAGATACTAGATGCTTAAGTTTCAGAATTCATTTTGTCAGGAAGTTGTGTATGTTAAAAATAAGTTCAGTAAATTTATGAATATTTATTTCATCATTTTAGGGAAGCTAGAAATGTTCTCTTACCATCTGTTTCAAAGCTTAGAGATACAAGTGTAACTCTTTCAATATATCTTTTAATGCTTCTTTCATTGACAATGTATTAGCCTGGATAAACAGTAGAATCTGACCCATTGTGTGGAGGTGATCTGTAGTATTACCTTTTTTTCTTTTTCTTTTGCATGATGCCTTTGGCTGTATTTACTAACAAATACATCTTTAATGAAAATTACATTAGAATCACGTTCTTCCTTTTTGAACTTCACAGAAATAAATCCAACAGCTCCTATTGTTTAAAAGAATTACTTTAAGAAAGAAGTTAGATTTTGATAAAAGATTTGATTGTTAAACCTTGAAAATGGAATTGGTTCTAATTTGTATACAACTAAATTTGGAAAATACTTTTTATTTGAGAACAATTAGATTTCCCTTACCATAAATAACAAAAAAAAAAGCATTTGTTTTATTTTTTGAATGCACATTTAAAAGTAATTTATTAGATGTGCATCTATGACCAAAAATGGAGCCTCTGAATTCTTTCTAATTGGGCATATGGTCAGCATACTATGCCCTGGGTCAAATGTGGCTTGCCACCTGTTGTGCATAAAGTTTTATTTATTGGAACATTGTTATTGGGTTGTTGTTATGTGCCATTGAGTTGGACCCGACTCATAGCAACCCCTTCTTGGGTTTCCAAGGCAGTATCACTATGGAAGTAGATTGCCCAACCTTCCTTCCAAGGAGTGGCTGGTGGGTTTGAACTGCCAGCCTTCTGGTTAGCAGTACATTTATTCATGTATTTATTGTGTATGGCTGCTTTCACACTACAACTTCAGAGTTGTTTACTTGTAAAGGATCCCATACTTACCCACTGCCATTGAGTCGATTCTGACTCATAGCAACTCTTTAGGACAGAGTAGAACTGCCCTTCACATTTCCACAGCTATAAATCTTTACAGAAGCAGACTGCTTCATCTTTCTCCTGCGGTGTAGCTGGTGGGGTCGAACCACGGGCCTTTTAGTTAGCAGCCAAATGCCTTAACTACTGCGTCACCAGAGCTCCTTAAAGCTTAAAATATTTACCTTTTATAGAAAAGTTTACCAACCCCTACCCTAGACAGTAATTAGTTCCCTTAGTGCAGTTGAAATTTCTTCTTTGTCCATTTCCTTTGTTACTCATTTAAATTCTTTAATTTAAGCCTGTGTTCTTGTTCCTTTCTTTCCCACTCTGCTTCCCACCCTCTCTCCTCTCTCTCTCTTCCCTTTCCTTACCAATACTGGTCTTCTAGCAGTTTTTGAGTTTAAAGTATTATCAGTAATTTGTTTCTTTAATGTAATTCAGAAACCGTTGGTTCCAGAAAGAAAAGCTTCATTTACATTTAAACCTCCAAGGACCTAGGACTGTGTCTAAGAAATATGTGTATGTAACATGTTTCTTTCAAGGACCTTTAGCTTCATGTTCTGTAACTACATGCTGCAATAGTCTGGACCTGTTTTATGGCATTTTCCTTCTTTCACAGGTCTTAGTACAGTGCCTTACAGTTAGACCTTTAGTATTTATTGAATGATGCATACCAGCTTGGCTCTAGACCTTAGGTTTGAGTAAATGAGTATTTACTTAATTCATAGAAACCGCCAATGTTTATTATTTATTTAGAGGTAAAATATTGTTAGAAGTGTTCAAATGTATTTTTAATTTTAAAATAAGTTTTGAAGTAATTATTTATTTAAATGGTGTTTTTTGGGTTAAGAAAATAAAATTAAGAAAAACTAAAGTAAAAATTTTTAAAACATTTAGATAATGTTTCTTACATTTGACAATTATTTAAATATTGAAACCAAACCAAAAAAAAAATCCCAAACCCACTGCCATGGAGTTGATTCCAACATAGTGACCCTTCAGGACAGAATAGAACTGCCCCATTGGGTTTCCAAGGCTGTAAAACCTTATGGAAACAGACTACCTCATCTTTCTTCCATGGAGTGTCTGGTGCATTTGAACTGCAAGCCTTTTGGTTAGCAGCCGAATGCCTTTACCACTGTGGCACCAGAGCACCATTTAAATATTGTGTACTTCATAATTTTCATTGGTGAAACTTGGTAAAATTTAGGGAAGAGTTAATTACTTTTAATGTAAAATTTTACTATTAATTTATTTAATTCTCCCTTAGACATTTGGAGATGTTAAGAAGTAAGCAATAGCATGGCTAATTTGTATGGTGGAAGAGAAGGAAAAAACTGGAAGTCAGCAGATGTGGTCTTTCTCTCTGCTCTTCCCCTAATGTGTCATGTGGGATAAGTATCTTTTTTCTGAGTCTCAATTTTCTCATCTCTGAAATAGGAATGGCAGTCTACAAGATCTTGAAAAGATTTCCAGTCTTAAATTCTTTGTTATGTTTGGTTTTAAGACTGTATGTCATGTAATAAACTTAAAAGCACACTCTTCCACTCTTTTTTCCTTTCCTAATACTGGAAGGGAGCTCTGGTAGCATAGTGCCTAAGGCACTTGACTGCTAACCAGAAGGCTGGCGGTTCAAACCCACCAGCCACTCCTCGGAAGGAAGATGGGGCAATCTACTTCCATAGTGATACTGCCTCGGAAACCCAAGGAGGGGTTGCTATGAGTCTGGTCTGACTTGATGGCACATAACAACAACAACAATACTGAAAGTATTGTGTTCAATTAATACAAGATTATTTTCATTCATATTATGATAACTCTGTTATAATTCATTCATTCATTATTGACTAGCAA